ACATCTCATTCTTATTTCTGATATAGATGCCCTTTAAGTACTGTAGCACGTCAAGTGCATGAACAGACCATGTACAGTGGTCAATGACTTGAATTACTCTGTGGGGATCTCTCTTACAGCTTAGCAACACTGGCTTACAAAACCTGCACTAGGAAAGAAATTCAGCCAAATAAGAAAGTCAGTTCCGCCCCAAATAGATTCTCAAAAGGAGGCTTAGGGCAGACAGAATTTATGCACAGACTTTATGCTGCTTCTCCATACTGGTTCCTCGTCCTTCCTGCTAGGTGAATGAAGATGTACAGACTTGTGCAAATACCTTGTTAAATCGCTATATGTTTAATATTTAATACTTAAACTTTGACTGCAGCTTGCTTGAAAGTCACAGAATCACAGAATCCTAGAATGGTTTGGGTTGGAAGGGAACTTTAAGATCACCTAGTTCCAACCCCCCTGCTATAAACATACAGACATCTCCCACCAGATCAAGTTGCCCAAAGTCCCATTCAGCCTTGATAAAATCAATGAATTGTCACAGTTCAACCTGGTTTCTGTGATGAGGAGGTGAAGGGAGTCAAGGATCCGCACCCTGGAGAGGGGGGTATGTGGGAGCAGAAAGGGAAAAGGCAAGGAGATATGCCTGGAAGAGGAAAACAGCAGCAATGAGCCAAAGGAAAAAAAAAAACAAACTCAGTTTACTGAGTACAGTAGCAGAATGTGAGGTCATATGGTATTATTGAAATTGAAGCTAATAAAATGCAAAAGAGAGAGTTTCTAAAACCAAAATCCTTACTCTAATGCTGTAGGCAAAGTGTCCAGGGAAAAAAAACCACTGTCTTGTGACTCCCAATCCACTTCAGCTTTCCCTGCAAACAGAAAATAGAAATGGAAAACAGAAACAACAATATGAAGTCTTCTTAGAGTCATAGTTCATTCTTCTCTCTTAAAACCATGAGACTGGAACTTATGAAGATACAGTGACAAGTCAGGAAACTGCACCTTTGACTCTTTAACTCCCATTGCACTGTGTGATGTTACGATGCGGAATATCGATGGAAAACCTTGAAACCAGGACATAAGTAAATGTCTTAGTTTCAGCTGGGACAGAATTGTTTTCTTCAGAGTGTCTGGTATGATGTTTCAATTAAATTTGATGTGCTCTTGAGCAAATTATCTCTGGGAAGTAAACAGAGTGGTTGCTTTCTCATCAGCCTATTCTAACAAGGAATGTGATGATTTCCATCTAGGTAATCTTGAATGTTATTTTGTCAAACATCCAGCCCTGGCAAATTCTAAACAATTCAGAATTCTTTAATACTTTTCAAAGAAACAATCGGTATGGTAGAAGGTCAGACTACGTAGAATTGCTTGAGAACTCACAAAGGTAAAAAGTTACTGATATTTTCAAATCAGGTTTCCCTCCATGGAGGATTTATAGAGGGTTAGATGCCTCAGAAGAGTAAACCTAGAAGTCTGCATACTAAGTGGAAAACATGACAACCAGTGATTAAGTGCTGTGTCTCACCTGGTGCCCATCTAGGGAAGTTAAATATCTGGCAGAAGATGGTAAGCAGGTGCCTTTTTCTATTCAATTTTAATTTGGACTCTGAATCCCATATTCATCTTCCCAGCATAAGAAAAAATATTGCTTGTTTCTTTCTGTTGTATTTATTTTCTTAACAGAAACCATTTATAACAGATGAAGAAGCTACTTCAGATTAATATGAGTAAAGATAGAAAACGAAGAAAGAAGCTCATTGGTGATCAGAATATCATATTCCAGCTGTCACAAAGTCTAAATGTGAATCATTTTGACTTCCCTTTGCTCTTCAAAACTCAAGTGGTAGGACAAGTATGAGTACTATGCCAACACTAGATATACTCACCAGCTCTTCAATCACTGATTACTTGTACATATTCAAGGCCTTTCTTCTGGTTTTCACTGGAGCACAATATAATTCCTATGATAACACCAAAGGTCACAGCATTCATTGAAAACATCTTGATTTATGGAACTCATCGTAAAATGTGAGTAAGGAGACACCCCACCCCTTTAGTATAAGCCTAAACACCAAAGATCAAAGCCCAAAAAGATTTCTTTCATTCACTAAAAGATATTAACATTAAAAATATTTGTAAGGAAGAGACATGTATAACCACCTACCTTACTGTGAATTCACGTGTGATACAGGTTTAATTAAAAGGCAAAAGGTTAATTATACTTTCTAGGTATTAAAGTAAATTGGTCAATACCAATCTGCATTCTTGCTATTTTTGTTAGAGTCTTTACTAGGTTGTTAATAAGCACCACCACTCTACTAGGAACTATAAGGAACTGCTTGTACACAGTGTATGCCATAGTCTCAGTTGTTAGGAAAGTTCTAAGCTTCCACTTATTTTATTTTTTATTTCCTCCTAGGCACTTATTATACTCTTCCTATCATGCTGAGCTCTTCCAATGTTTAGAAATATTTTAGAACTAGAAAAAAAAAAAAAAAAAGAAAGAAAGAAAAAAAAAGCACAGTCAATTAATTCTTTCATTTGAATAATTAAACATTTTAAATAATCCTTCCATACCTTTTGTTCAGCTATGGATATATTATTAGTAGTAGCCTGTACTGTGTGCTGCAAGAGAATGTAAAGCACATAATTCCTAGAACCTGGGGAGGACAACATTTCCTGACACTGTGAATTTACCTACCCAGTGACATCTTGTTCTAATTCAAATGCATTTCACAGTGTAGTAATTATACCACATGAATGTTGTGCTCTTCCATGAAAAATTCAGCACAGTTAATTATTTAAAAAAATGTTATAGTTGTTGAATCCATCCCATTGTGTTCAACAAAATTTTTAATCATGCTTCACTATTTCTAGGATGCTCCCATTTTATCATTCATTCCCATAGTTTACTCTGTGAAGAAGCCCCATAGGTTTAAGACCATAGGTTTGTAGACAGACTTTATTCAAATGGGTGTCATCAAAGCTCAGATGCAGTCTGTAACATCTCTGCTTGTTGAGTGTGTTCGTATAGACAAATGGTCTTCAGTCTTCTACTGATTGGCATTAAGTAATTTTCTCAGACCCACTCCTGAACAGCATCCAATGATTCCACCATGCCTCATAAGCAAACATTACTAGGCTTCATGAAAGTTCTTTGTTTGTTTGTTTGTTTCCAGGAGACTGTGTCCAAGGGCTCACAGAAACTAATTTTTTCAAGTAAGTATGAAAGGTATAAAAGGTATAAAAAGTATAAAAGAGCAGAAAAGCCACTTTTCGATCAGGAATAAAGTATGCCATTTTGTACTTAGTCACAGGACTATGGTGTATTTGTAGAAGATATTTGAAAAGTGCTGGAGGGTAAAATATTTAAAAGTCACAGTGGGAATACGCAGAGTGTTGCCAGTCGTTATGAATAAATACAGCTGGAAGAAATTTGAAAAAAATCATCACAAACACAGTGAAGGAGGAGCGTGTGTGAAGTGAAGGGTTAGTGCAAAACAGGTGGATTTTGTTTGCATGGATGAAGCCACAATCTTGTCTTAATCGGTTATTAATTTGGCAAATAGAAGTTTTGTGGGGCATGTCTTACTTCACAGATCTGCCTCTGTGTGCCTCTACCTACGTTGAGACTTGATATTTATCTCTTTTTACCTATGGTCTGAAAAATAATAGTAAATATATAGATCTTTAGATGAGGAACCTGAGAGGAATGCAAAATGTAATTTATTGCTGAGATAACACTACTGAAAAATGGATACTTCTGCTTATCTAATACAATAGGAACAAAAGGACCTGAAATTCTGAGGAGCAGAAGTGCTAGACACATCTGAAATATAAAACAATCAAGTACTATTTAATTTTGAAGTCATATTTCCTACAAATTAAGCTGACAGGTTTGTAATAGGAAGTGTTACCTTCTCCTATACATAATACTTCTCTGTTCAGTTCCACCTTTACTTATGGAAAAACATTTTATTTGATAAAAAAACTATGGCAAAATAGATGCCTGCTTCTTAGTCATTCTGTTTCATGAAATTCAGTGACTGCTATACAAGTGACATCACAGATGGTAATGTCAATTTTAAGATCTATCTCACATGTAAAATCTGGTACACAACATGAGCGAACAGGAACACACAGTTGTAAGAGTTCTATGAAGATTTCAGAGAACAGAAGTAATTCTCCAAGGCAGTAAAAATTCTCTCAAATGCTGATGCAATTATTAGTAAGCCTATCTGTTGAGGGGACAGTAGTGAAGGCCACTCAACAAGAAGGTTTATTTGCCTGTTTAATCTATAACTTAGTTTCCACTTGCACAAAAGAGGACAGCTAAACCTCACTCTGCAATCTGTAGAAGCTACAACTTCTCGAAGTGGCATGACTGTGGATCCTTTTTCTCAGATTTTTTATGATCACTATGACAATTTTTTCTCAGAGCATTCTGAGGTTGTTTCTTTATGTTCAGTTTGGTGATGCACCTGTGTTTCTCAAAAATATATTTAAATTAAACAGTTGATGTTCAAAGAAGAAAAAAAAAAAAAACCCTTTTTAAGAAAGAGGATGAATTTTGTTTTCCTGCTTTGAAACTAGCTTTTTGTTTGAGCAAGAATACAAACAGATTCTCCTTGTATATTTTGAGTTAACTAGTGTAACAGTAAAACAAGAACATCCTTGTTGTGTGGTTAATTGAAGAAACATCTAAATTCTGACTGTTTAATAAATGTTAACACTTGAAAGATTGCTGCTGCTGCTTTTTCTTTTTCTTTTTTTTTTTCAGAAATAGCAACTGTGGTTAATGATCATCTAGGTTATTTTTTTCTAATAAAATGTCATCAGCAAAGGAGAAAGGAATCTGAAAATCATGCACAAACTAAATAGTGCTTCTTTTGTCAGATTGCTGCTTTTGCTTATTCATTAGTGGAAAACCTGTTTGCCTAAAAGTAAAGGAAATCCAACAAATCCAAGTTTTAGATCTAAATGTGAATTAAAAGCACCCATATTTCATTTTTATTCTCAGACCAAGTCAAACGATAAATACCTGAAGTTTGTAGTATTCTGGAGATAAAAATATACTCTGAATAGTATTTTTGTATGTATTTATATGCTTAATTTCCCCCTAAATTGACTGGACACATCTCAGCGATCATCAGAAATTATACACTACACAGAATTTAACACATGTAGAGAACGTTTAAATCAGGAAGTTCTTAGGTAGTTCAGTATGAGCTGGCAGTCAATCTCAACTTTTCTGCATAGTTTTGGAGGAGGGTAAAGCCTTGATTTTGTTACTTAGCTGTAGTCCTGCAGACTTCCTGTGTTTCTTTTCTTCTGTGTCTAGCAGTTTCAGTGCAAACTCACAACTTAAACTTCCATGACCCTTCAAGAGCAGAAATGTAATGTGTCAAAATTATCCCAGTTCTCTGTGTCAAAAATCTGTTTTCTGTCAGCACAGGTCTCAATTACTCAGCAAGATCTGCAAGTAGTATGTACATGAAAATGCAATCAAGATAGGGAAATACAAAATCAGAGGCACCCGGAATAAAGTAGAACTTCTGAACATTTGGCAGCACATAAAATGAGTAAGACATCTACTAGAATCTTACAAAAAACAACTCTTATCTAGACAAAACCTGTATGTGTCAGAAATGGGAAATCAGTGTGCAAAACAAATTGAGTTAAACAATGTGTTTAACTTATTACATCAACTTTTATATTTCTCATAGTTACAGTGACTCAAGGAATATATTACAGGTTTCTTGAACAAATTGAGCCTGCCTACACTAAATGAGTCAGATAAAAATCAATTACATTGTGAATTCTTAATTCAATGCCATCATTGTTCCTTTCCTAGTGAGAAAATATCAGTCCTGGTCAACCAACATTTTTGTTTTGTGCAAAACATTTTACTTTTTTTTTTTATTATTTTGTGGACCCTTTGAAAATGAAAAACCATTTGGTATCAAAGTGAAATATTAATAAGACTCTTTTTAATACCGAGTCAGCACTTAGTTACTCTTTTTTTTTTTTCCATACAGAGTATCAAAAGGGCAGACAATAAGTTTTATCATATTTTATCGTATTTTGCAACATTTTAGGTTTTGCTCAGTACATGTATTTATATTGCCATATCACACTGGAGTCTTCTATTCTTAGCAATGGAATAGGATGAAAACAGAATGGGCTAGTGTAAGCTACTACTCTTAAGTTTTCAAAACTAAACAGTTGTTACCTGTTGAGGTAGAAAAACAGGAGGGTGTCAGATGCCAGGCCTTCCAAAAGATAACATCTACTAAGAGTGCTCTCCTGTTACAGTATTTATGAGAACTGGAAGAAAAGAGAAACAGAAAATAGACTTGATAAATTGTCTGCCTTATTTATTCAGCCTGTCTATGTCCATACTGTCTCCAAACAAACACAATGATGCGATACCTTTTATATCACCAGGTTTTATTAATTCCCCTATTTTTTCTAACTTATCACTTGAGGACTGATATAAATCATAGTATCAAGCAGTGAAAACAGATGCTGAAAATTCGCTGTGTGTTGTTTACACCTCCAACCTACATTGGATTCCCTGCATTCCAGATGGCACATAGTCATTCTATTCTATTCTATGTATAAGATTAAAATGGTTTACTTTCAAATCAGCATATCTGTTTGTGCTTTGTAATTTAAATTCCAATGTCTGGATCAACTCCGTTTTGCCTTTTTCACCTTTCGGATTCTTCCATTTTTCCAATTTATCTTGTTACCACTTGCTAAGAATAGATAAAGGATTTCTTCTTTCAACCACTGTATTCACCATGTTGCTTTTCATGCTAATTAGTCATTAGAGATAGTAAATAAAAAAAACTAATTACTGATTTAATAGGTACTATATTTTGGCCTCTCAAGGTGCATATAATCATACTTTAAACTGCAACAGGAAATAAGGGGCACTTTCTGCAGCTGGTGGGTTTTCTTTCAGAACTTCTAAGTTAAGAACTGTTTGGATTGGTAGTGTGATCTAATATGTACTGTGGTAAGTATTAGATCTGGACCCTCAGACCTGCCCTGTTCTAATCATGATCATTACTAAGCTAAACCTTACACAAACATTTCACTGCCCCATTTCTCTTTTCTTCTTATTTTCAACATATTGTCTGCTTTTCCAGAATGGTACATTCTCTGCTGTATGCTCACACTAAGTTTTTAAAATTATTAAGACTATACTAAACTATACTAAAATCTATACTATATAAGACCAGATATGTATTCTGAAAATTATTTATTCAGTGCCATTATAGCAATGATGCTTCATTTAACAAATCCAGACCTATGACAAAATTCAGCTGCTTTATCCAGGCTTCATCAGGAATAAGTCCACAAAAATATTTAACTAACGTAGATCTGTAGTCACCACTTAGTCATAGTAAAATGAGTGTAGCAGTTGATCCATGATCCTAGCTTTAAAACTGTTCACTCCAAATTTGGCCATGTAAAGGGAGCAGAAGAGAGCAGAAATGCACTTCCTGCACAAACACTCTTCATCCTCAGTTCTCACATTTATATGCAAATGTTCCTTTATTTCTGCAGATTAAAACATTTCTGCATTTAGACTGCAAAATCACAGGAAAATGTGTTTAAATTACAAAACGGACATTTCTCATGGCACCTTTATCACAGTAGACAATACTCATGCAGATGCAATCTCAGAGGATTCCATTTGAAGAGGTGGAAGTACAGGCACTCTACATGCACACCACACTCATCACCTAGAAAGAGCTGAGCATCCCGAGGCTCATCTATGACCCACCATGCAAAGAGGTCAAACACAGCACTGACAACAGAATTGTAGAAGAGAACTCCCTACACATGCCTAGGAAAAAAAAAAAAAAAAAGTGGGAAATTACAGAGATTTGTGTAAAATCTAGAATCTTTTAGAGTCCATATGGCTGTAACCATCCACATCTTTGCCAGGGCTGATTCACTTGCTTTCAGACATGCATACCTTGATTTAAGCAAAACGGTTGCCTTTCACAACACATCCATGTTAAGAAAAAGGAAATCAAGTGTTCCAGTCAAAATCATGGCCTTGTGCTGCAAAACTGCAGTAAGCTGTCTTGACAAGATAGTAGTGCTCTCATTACTCTTCTACGTATGATCTTGATGGCATTTTAACTGCAAAATCCATCCCTCATTTAGTTGAAGTCGTCCAGCTTGAAAGATTACATTCTGCTATATGACTGCTCAATCCTATTTAGCAGGCAAGAAAAAAACTGAAAAGAAACAAAAAAAGGTCAAAAATCTCTTTGGATCACTCACCTAATTGCTTCTCTTAGCAGGAGCTGCTCCAGCATTAGACCATAATCACCTATTCCTATGGTGGAGTTGGGATGTTTATACACTCTGCACCTGAGACTGACAAATGCATTTCAATGTATTTGCTTAATGTACCAAATGTTGCCCCATGAAGAGGGGAATTGACAAGCTTCCTAATAGAAAGACCTCCTTTAGCGCTTTGTATCTAGTCACCATCAAGTAGTTTACAAACTGGAATCAAACTGGCACCAAAATAGTTTTCACTCAGGAAAATACCCCATGGAATAGTAACCCTATCATAGGACATACAGGCAGTGACAGCAACCTAATCCAGTGCCCTCCTGTAGATTTCACATGCTGAACAAAGCAGCACTGAGCTCTGCATATCACGAGGTACAGATTAATGGGGTTGTGACCGTTCTGTCAGGAAAATGATTCTATGAGCAACTTTTAGAGCAAAACTGAGACAAAGACTGTAGAAACCTCAACTGAAAAGCATCCCTTCGAGGTGATCAGGAAATTCCTGATGCTTTTAGGCTTCAGTTTTGCAGGAAAATCAGGCAGGTTTTCGGCGGGTTTTGTCTGTTTGTTGCCACCGAAATGCCTCAGCAGCGGTGAGCACAGCCGACCCTGCGCCCAGAGCCGCTGCCGCCATCCAACATGGCGGCGCCAAGCCCCGGCGCTCGCTTCCCGCGCCGCCGGACCCCCGCCCCTCCCCGGGATCCTCCCCCGCGCCCGGGTGCCGCCCCCGGCGGAGGCGGTGCCACTCTCTCGGCCGTCCGGGACGAGACGACGGCTCTAGGCGGCGAGCGTTATGGCGGCAGAGGAGGACGTGTTCCAGAGAGCTCGGGGAAGGACTCTGACCGCTTTCCGCCAAGGTACGGGGAACTCCAGCGGGGGGCTGCACGTGCCGGCGGGTTCTATTCTCTGCCCCGCAGCCAGGCGGGCTGGGCCGCGGCGGGGAGTGGAGAGCAGCCAGGCGGCGGCAGCGGCAGCGGCAGGTTGCCCACCGTCGGGGAGGGGGACGTCCGAGATGCGGCGGGGCCCGGAGGTGCGCGGCGGGCAGCAGTGGGCAGCTCCGCGAGCTGTGAGCGGCGGTCTCCGTGCTGCGCGGCAGCCGGGGCTCTGCTGAGCTCTGGAGGCGGAGGCGGCTGCGCCGCGGGGAAAAGGCCGACTACGTCTGACGCCAGATCTCGAACGAATGGTGGTTTTTCTATTTGTGCTGCTGAACTTGTGCTGCGCAAATTGTAAAACTGTTGGCACCAGCAGCGTGCTCTCATCTCACGTGTTGTATTGTGCTTTTACGTTTGCGCCTTTGTGTGCCTGTTCTTTGCTTGCTTAACAGAGGTGGGTTCTGGTTTCTTCGGGGTGCTCCAGCCTCCTTCAAGGTGGAGGACCGCTGCTGGTTCCTCGCCTGGCACTGAGACAGCACCGTAACCCACTTGGGCTGGCAGCAGATGTGGTTCCACGCTCACTTCCTCCTAGGCCAATTAAATATTGAGGCTGCTGCGAGGCCAGAGATGGCTCTCACCTGCTGCTGCTGCTCATTTGGATGGGCCAACAAATACACGTGGATATTCACAACGTGCTTCTCATCTACTCGTAGAATTCTGTAAGGATGGGCATTCTGACCTTCTCCTGGGCTTCTCAGGCACGTAACAAGCTCCATCTTCAGCGGTTCTTTAGTACTTTCACACGTAGAAGGTGTTCTGTTTCCATGCAGTTTTTTATAAATTATAAGTGGTATGTCTTTATGAGGTGGGCAGGGCTATTCAATCTCAGCAATTCTGTGGTATTTTCTTGGTTATTGTTTGGAAATATTTACTTGTTGCTAAACAAAAAGAAGACAATAATTCTGAGCGTGTGAAGTATACATATTCAGTCATTCTGGCAGCCTGTTAATAATTGCGGATGCTCTGGTTGGTTTGGAACAGGATGTGTGGCAATTACTGAAGGGACAGATGACAGACAAGCCATTTAGTTACATCCACTGTAATAAAAGGAGTGTTCAAAGGCAGAGTAAAAATCTCTAACAAAAAAACGTAACAAGTATTTCTTGAAAACTGCCTTAAACATGGATGAAAAAATGTGATTTAGGTATCAGTCATCCAAGTGCCCTTTCTTTTGAAGTTTGTTGTTTGATGTTCTTCAAATTGTGTTAAGACTTCTGTCAATTACTGTTGGCTTGTTTAGGATGTGTTAGCTATCATATCCACCTACCATCTCTGAGTACAGTGTTTCTGTGTTAATGTTTTACTAGTTCTTTCTTTAGAGACTAAAGTTCAACACAACCTTTTAATGATAAAGAGTTTTAAAAAAACATAATCAAGGGTTAACAAAACTGAGGCAAAGTTTCTTCTTATTTAGAATGAAAATCAATTGAATCTGATCTCTTTTGTTGAGTTTGTGTATGTGTGTTTCCCTCCGTCTTAGCATTCATTCATTCTCCAGGAATTATTCCTTTTGTTAGATAACCACACAAAATATTTGCCAGCACTACTTTAGCTTGGCACAGTACTTCCTTCACAATTTGAGAATCACCCCTTAGGGCTTAATTTTTTTTATTTATTTATTTATTTATTTTTTAATTCTAAGCTCTTCTGCAAAGTCATGTTTTCGCACCTATCCCCTAATAGTCATCTGTTCAGTCTGCCTACACAAGATGTGCTCTGATCCACTCTTCATATATCACTCATGAACCAGAAGCTCAAACAGGTCTAAAATACCCATGTAGCTGCTGGAGTGTTGGATAAAGGAACACATCAGTTCTTCACTTTATTGAAAAGAGACCTCTGTATTCTTTTTTTTTTTTTTTTTTAAATGTATCCTCTGTAATTTCACATAGGCAGAAAAGACACTTCAGATGTCTACTAGTTTTATTGGTCTTATACTGAATATATACAGGAGTGTATTTTAGGGTAAATACTGTCATCTTCTGCGCTACCTGTCCCAAAATCTCTAATGCTAATACCATGCCATACAGAGAATTTCTGTGGAAATATGTCGAGCTCTTTTTTAAAGTAATTAAACTAGTGATAGTGCCATCAGCTGTTGTCGAGTCATTTTTTTTTTTTTCTTAAGTGGAGGAAATAGGATTTGTATTTCTTGCATGGTATCCAGTATGTATGAGAAAAGAGTTGTAGGGCAACTGCATGATGCAGGAGGGAGCATTTCCTAATGCCCTCAGAACCTTTCAGTGTCTAAATTCATGGTAGGGTGTACAGGAAATGAATGTCGTGACCAGATCAGAGTTGATGAGAAAGGTGAAATCACCACAATAAATAATGTCAGATATGATTCCAGTCAAACATGTTCTGTCTGTAAGGGAGGATTCTGGTCTTGGGTTCTTCTGCAATGAACATGGCTGTAGAACTTTGTTTCCTGTCTTTGTCTTTGGGAGCATCTTGCATGCTTTTTAGTCTAAATGACATTCTGGCAATCTACCCTCTCATCACACCTCTGAAAAGGGCTTTAATATGCTTTCCAGTTGTTCTTGACTCTTACTGGTTAGTCAAGCTGGATTCTTTTTGTCTTCTCAAGTTCTCAGAAGACGCTGCGCATATGGTCTGAACCTCTGGAATAGTGTCTTTGAACAGTTTCCACACTGCCTTTAAGGAGTTCTGCTCTTTTTAAAAGCTTCGTAATTATATGTAATTCCCTTTCCTTTGAAAATAAATACAACTGCAGTTGGTTTCTTTTTTATTGCTTTCACGTGAAGGATGGATCTCTGCACATTATAATTACCACCCTGGAGCTCTTCAACGCAGTATTTTTGAGTGAGGTTTTCCTCTGGTCAGAACAAATCAAGAGCAGCTTCCCAGCTGGCATATTCTAATTCCTAATACTGTCTCCAACTCTCATATGAATGAGGCATATCTTGAGTGGGCTTTAAGCAACCTTCTGTGACCTCACCTTGTCATTATGCAAGTCATCCCCCTTCACACCAATAGTCTTGGGATGAAGAAATTAGTGTATTTTCTGCAGTAAGTTTGTAATAATATAAATATATATATAAATAGATTAAATTTGGGGGTGGGCATGACTAGGATTTAGCATTTAATAGCCCTCAGTACACATAAATTGTTTGTGTTTGAGGGGGCGTTTCTTACCTTGACGTTTTAGTAGTTTATATTTTAAAAATAGTAGCATTGCTTAAATTATTTGAGAATAATTCCCGTTGGTCAGTCAGCAGAATTCTACTCTCATACCTTGTGGTAGTCTCTCAGGTACTCCAGGAAAACCCAGCTAAAAGGAATGAACACTTAATTAGATTGAAATCTTTTGTTTGCACATCCAAGTAGTAATGGTGGTGTTTTTTGAAACTATTGATAATGTTTTAATAGTAAACAAGAAACTATTAAGGGTTTGGGGCAAGTACCTTACTGGTTTTTAAGCCATGCCACAAGTGAGAGGAATGAAAACAAATTGTCTTAAAGGTAAACTGCTAAACAGTTGCACTGAAGATTTTTTTGCCATTTCTTCTGCTTGTAATATACAAATACTGCCTTCACTTAATAAATAAATAAACTAATTAAAATTTACATTTTGCTTCCTGCTTATATCTTTTTTTAAAACACCGAAGATGTTCTTTCAATCCAATCTAATCTAGAAAAAAAATCATGGGCGTATTTTATAGACAGACAACTAAGAGCAAGAAAGCATGTACTGAACCTGTCATTTCGTATGTAAAAACAGAAGAGGGACTTGGGCCATCTTTATCTCCCAAAATAAAATGTTTCACAAGTTGCAAAAAGCAAAACAAAAGTATTTAATCTTTGGTTAGCAATCTGACTTCTAAACATGACAAAAACCCATGTTTCAGTTGCTTCAGTGATCTTTCAGAGAAGTGACATTAAGTCCCCTGGCAAATGCAACATCAAAATGAGGACGTTTTTTGTATTTGTTACTGCCGTTGTTATACTGAACAAGCACAAGCTGTGTGCCTACATCCATTCTCCTCTGTCCACTTACAGATGCAGGCAGGAATAACTTCTCCTAAATGCTTCATTTCTGTGAAATGTTGTAGAGTCTAGAGGAAAAACAAACCAGCCTCAAAGGTACATCTCACTGCTGTTGAAAATCTCACCTGGGAAGCACTGGATATGCCACCAGTACTGTGGGGCTGTCATGAGTCTGCTTGTGATGATGTGTCTCTAGCATGTACCTTTGTGATCCTCGGAGAAAGGGGGAAGAAAAGGGAAGACATTACAAAGAGCAAAAGGGGAAGAAATAAAGGCACATGGAGATATTAGCTGTTCTCTTCTAGAAGTGGCGAGGTTTGACTCAGGTCCCATCTAGGCTGTTGGAATCTTTGTGTTCGTGAGCACAATGCACCACTGAGCTTTTCTCCTGCATGTTGCTGCCAACTGCTTTGGCCCTTCGCAGGATTAATCGTTAGATAAAATTAGAAGCTGGCATCATTTTTCAGCCTATGCAACTAAATTATGTTGCACTGATCCTTGTACTTTGGCGTGCATAGGAGTGGAGTAAGAGTGGGAAGCTATTGAAACTGAGGCATAAGAACAGTTTCAGAAGGTGGACTTTTTGCACGGCAATTGACTGTACTGATGAATGTGCTAACTGTCACCATTGCTGTTGTATTAATATAATTTCCTTTATGATGTTTTTCTTTTGTTCATAGTACTTCACAGTAAATGAAACATGTTCTTGATAAACAAACACTTCAGTGATAAGTAAAGTGGATGTCCATATATTCTTTTGTTTGCATGAATTGTACTGGGAATTCCTTTGTGGGGAATTTGGTATGTACTAAGCTAAATCGATAAATGCCACATGATAAATAAGCTGTTTCAAATTCGTTTGAATACTGGTAGGATTATTTTTTTTAATTGGGTTTCTAGTTGGAGTAATCGAGCAATAAGGAAATGGTACAGAAAATGTATTCAATGTCACTGTAATTTTTTTAAACTATTTGATGAATTCTAAAAAAAAAAAAAAAAAAAAAAAAAAACACAAAAAGAGCTTTTGAGTATATTATTTGACAAAGATCAGTTAATTAAACTAATTCTTTAAGTAAACGTTATTTATATCATCCTGATTCCCGTATCTCTCCTGTTCCCCCCCACTTCATTTTCTTAAGTTTATTCCTTTTTATCTTTCTTTCCCACATGGGATTGTAGCATTGCTTTCAGTTTTTCTCTTTTCACTTCTTATCTCTTTCCTTTTCTCCCCACTCTTCTCCACCTCCACCCCTGCATCTTCTGTTTCTCCTTTTTTCTTCCACTTCTTGATTCTGTCTGTGTACTGAACTTCTCTTTACAAATTCATCTTTTCTATGTGTGTGTCTCTCTCTTCCTCACATGACCATCACCCACCCACTCAAACAGGAGCATCTGTGCTCACTCTTGGAAACATTCAGATGCTTACAACCTACAGAGTTACTGTATTGGCATAGATATAAGGCAGGGGAGGAAAAACTCCACAAAGCTTATATTAGAATAGCCTCTGCTCTGGCCTTGCAACTTGTTTTGTTCCCACTCTGCAGGCTCCCAGAAAGCACACTGCCTGCTTGCTGCTTTTCTCTACTCAAACACTATGGGTGCACCTCCTCATCACCTGGCTCCAGGTCTGATCCCACTGCCCGGGCTGCTGCAGCTGCACCAGCTGCTGTGCCACCCCAGGGGCTCAGGAGGGGAGAGAAACCATATGCCTAAAAGTGAAACCTCATCCTTCAAAACAAATATTACTTCTATTTTCAAAGTAAATAGACAAATGCCTTTATATTTATTTAGCTTACTATTGTAAAAGCTGTTGGCTTCAGATTCATCAATGCAAAGTAAGTAGATCTTGCTTCCAAGTTACTGTCTCAAAGGGACAGGTGTTAAGAGTCTGGTCGCTTTGTTCAGAATCTCAGCTTTTTTTTCCCTAAGCATCTCTTTGATGAGTTTGAGGTTGTAGCACTTCTCCTCAACAAGGTCTTGTGTCAGACTTTCTCTTTCCAGCCTTATTTTGTATAGGCTGTAAAAGATTTCTCATGCCAGCTTTTTTAAGTCATGTTTTTATAACTTTCCACTTATAAAACCTGTAAGATAATTTCTCTGTGCAGACAGTGCCTTTGATGCAGCACACAACCTGATTTTTATGACAGTCATATTTATCATTTTTTTCATGCAAAACGCACAATAAAAACCTAAACTGCTTTGTGCCATTGAAGCAGTTCCATAAGGCTTCTACTGAAAACTCATGGGTAGATCATTTTGCCTCTCCAAGTAAGTTATGTAATTGGAAAAGTTCGTTTCAGAATTAAAATCTGAAAGTTCTATCTATAAAACAGGATTATGATGCATAACAAGGAATGCCAGTATGAATTAGCAAACAATTTTATCAGATAAGTAATTTTGATCCTTAAATGTTACATTAACTAAAATGTAGAAGCTTGCATTTAGCAAAATCATCTGATGCCATAGCAACAGGCAGCAGCATGCTACAAGGAGTTGCCCACATTCCTTTTCCTACACCCCTACCCATCCATATCCACAGTGCAGCTGAATTCTAACCCCTGCTGTCTTATCTTCCTTGACAAAATCATATTACTCATCTTACAATATAAGAAGGTCCAGTTCTAGACCACTTAAAAGGAAACCATAAGTAAACCCATGTGATAGGCATGCTGCTTGCTTATGTACTGTTAGTGGAGGATAAACCCAGAATCGACTCAAGCTGTTTCGGATAAGACAGACATTATATAAAAGTGTATTCCTATAGTATAATTTGAGACTGTTTGCTGTACTGTTTTGGGTTTTTTTTTTCCTGGTTCAGCTACATCAATGTAGTCAATGACATTTTGATGATTGAAATACTGAAAACAAACAAACAAACAAGCAAAAAAAACCAATAAAACTAAGTGTTTTAAACAGTGTATGAATTAGACATGCTCAGGAGAGTAAAAAGTGGGAAGGAGATCCAGTTGTCCAGTCTGAAATATTTGCAAATGAATATGTTTAATGTTTATAGTTGCAAATGAATATGTTTAGAGCTACAAAAACCACAGTGTACTGGTTTGCACTTTCATTTAGAGTTGATAGGTAAGTTTAGGGAACAGGGTAACATTTTATGTTTATAGCTGGTAGTAGCCAGTCTTATGTATCACACTTGTATTACTTGGTATTGTAGTATCAAAGAAAGAAGTATGCAAGAAAACTGTCGCAGAACAAATCCCACTTTATCCTTCATCTGCACTGACTACAAATGGCGTTCTTTTTCCTAGTGGTTCCCGGGGCTATCCGACAGTTCAAGTTACAACTTCTCTCCATTCCTGCTGCTAATTCGGTGTTGCTGGGGTTGCATTTGCTGACTTTGGTTCTATTCAGTGGCTTCATCTCTTAACTCTAGAGAATGTGTTACAGAAGCGTTTAACTCAATAATGTTTAACTACCTACTGAAATGGTGAAGTGTAAAACATGTTGTGTATGTTTTAACTTGTTAACTAAAGGAGCAATTATTGGAGTCTTGAAAGAATCCAGTGAAATGTAATGTCATATGCTTCTGCTGTGTTGTAATCTTGCGTTTCCCAACAGTATTTACTGAGTTCTTTACATAGTTTTCCTCTAATTAGTCTGCAATTACTAGTGTATAAATTAGATTAATATACTTTCATTTACTACAGCTACCCATTAGAAGAAAAATTTGTACTTCTGCCTTTATATTTGTCCAATACAAATGAATAAAGAATTCTATACTTCTTTAATATGGCCTTAACTTATGTAGGTAAAGAAAAGCCAATATTTACTTATTTATAGTTTTTAATTCTTTCAATGTTTTTAGGTGATGAGTACCAATGGAAGGGTCCTTTCTACTTCATCCAAGGAGCAGATCCTCAATTTGGACTAATAAAAGCTTGGGCAGTTGGCAATACAGGAAGTGGAGATGATGAATGGGGAGAAGAAATCAAATTAACAGAGCAAGCAGTACAGGCCATTAACAAACTAAACCCTAAACCCAAGTTCTTTGTGTTGTGTGGAGATCTTATCCATGGAATGCCAGGTAAGGCAATTAAAACTGTGGAGTGGATCATAAATCTATTTTCTTTACTTCACAATATGCTTTCATAGCATTTGGTAGCCTACTATTTTGGTGTTTGGAAAAAATAGTGGTTTTTTTTTAGATTATTTTTGAGATACAGTCTCATTTGTTCATCTTATTTGATGTGTTTCTAATTTCAGGGGGGCATTTCTGTTAGCTGTTTGTTTGTTTGCTAGGGTCAGGGTTTGGGGCTAGCCCTGAGGAAATGCACTTTGAAATAAACATCTTGAGAGGACATATTAAAATTCTTTATTCTAAACAAATTGCTTTGATAAGCTAAACAGTGATTCTAGCCATTGGGAAAAACAATGCTAAGTAAAAAGAAAGGTAGCTATAGCTACCAAAGTGAGCAAAGCTCTTTCTAAAGCTTAATAAGTTCCACTGCTTCAATATTTAAATTCTTAAAATGCTAAAAGTCAGCAAATTGAAGCTGTAGCATTCTGTCATGTTGCTGTAGGAAGCACAGATCAGTGTCTTTGAGTGAATAGCCACAGGAAAAACAATAGAGGATATAGAAAGGTGGGTTCCAAAATTTCACAGCTGTAACTTTAAAATAGACTCATACTTTCTGAATGGAAGTAATCTTGCAAATTGACAAGTGGTCTCAAAAGCAGATCTGTGCAAAGCATCTTTGATTTCTTAGCCCTGGTAACAAGCCGAGCTGCAGACAGTCTTAGCTATGCACTTGACAGTGCAATGATGCAACAAGAGAGCTTTCAGAAATGGGAGTCCTTCATACTTCACTCTTCCTGAGATGGTGCTTCCTGGCATTTAACTGCACAGCAAGATCTGAGTGTACTGGACATCTTTCTCACAGCTGAACCAACAATACTTATCCTACTTCACTGCTGTAGTTTTGCGCAGATGATTTGTTGTGTCTTATGCTGGAAACCATATAAACTCAACATTGCAGTCAGCCCTTTGTCTTTCTGTCCAAACTGATGAGAGCCTGAGATAGAAGCGAATCATTGCGTTTCATAGAGACATCTTGGGATCAGCATTCTGTCACTATTTGCCCAAAGGGCAGAGAGATATAATGTGATACTTCAAGGCTGACAGAAAAAATATTTAAGAGAGGTAAATCTGAATCTGTGTGTTTAAAATAATTTGTGGATGTGTATTTTCAAGTGAAATAATGGGCTTTTCAGACAATTTTCTCCTACTTTTTTTTCTCAGTCTCTGGAATAGGAACTCTTTCAGATCACAAAAAAGGTTAAATAAAAAATCTGAGAAAATATATTTCAAAGTGAGACAGCCCTCACTACATTTTAACAACTTCTTGTTCCGACAGTTTCTTTGGGGTGACTTGTTAATAGCTGTTCATTTATAAGACATTGCAAGACACTGGTGCTAGGAAGCCAAATAAGAACTTATTTGCTGTGTTTTGTTGTTGTTTTTTTTTTTTAATCAGATGGAAATCTCCTGATGTTAAAAATGAAATCTTTCCAAGTTCTTCACAGTGATGGTTTCTGAAATACTTGGAAATACTGCAGTTGTTTTCTCTAGTTTTCTGCCACATTACATGCTAAACTCTAGGAATCAAGGTGACTTCCTACTCAGGGAGGAATGATTTCCTAAATTTATTCACTTGTGGGCATGTTTGAAAATGTAGTATGCATCAGTGATAGCCCAGATTAAAAAAAAAAAAAAAGAAGAGAGCCAAAAGATCTCATATTCCATTACCAAATAGCACAAATCTCTTTCTGGTACTAGTACTGTGCTTGAGATGTCATATTTCTCAAACACATTACCTCTCAAATACAATTTCACTGCTTTAGCCAGCAATGTTTGGACCTTGATACTGCATGTTTGTACTTGTATGGTACTTCAGTTATTCCATGCTGTTCCGCAGAGGAGTCTCTCTAAAAATAATTCCTGTCTTAGTTCAATAAAAGGAAGTAGTAACAATTAAAAATTACATAAGGCTTTTGTTTAATTTTAGCAACTGTGAATTTTGCTTACATGTATCTTATTCAGTATCTCAGATTACCTTTTAAATCACTTGTGTTTATCAGCTATATTAAAAATACATTAAAGTCAGGGTATCATTGTTACTATTGCAGCATACTTTATTAAAGAAAGCTGCAGTCAGCTGAGATTCGGTTATATGTTATGATCTGTTGGCTGGTGTCTGTCTATCAGGTTCTTTGGATTTTATTGCTTTGTAACCACTGCCTGTAAATAAAATAAACACAAAACCCCAAACATTCCTTCCCTAATATGTTTCATCATGGAGAATTGAGTATGTTTATAACAACTGTTTTAAAGCACGCGCTGTAGCTTTCCATCTGAAGCAAGTTTGAGGCCTGTGCAAAGGAACTCCAAGAAATCTCAGAATGCCAGCAGCTAGAAGTGATGAACAGAATCCTTATCAGCTGGGAAGCAATCAAGCGCAACACTTGGAATCCATTACAGATGTCATTAGAGCAATGAAGTAATCAGTGCCAGTATCCTGGTATTTAGCTGGTGATTAAAAGTAGTTTGTATTCTGAATATTATTTTCAGAAGTTTTTCTTGACTACATAATCTTGATTACGTAATCAAGAATAGGATATCTATTCCTGGTAATGCTAATGTTCTGGTATGTAATCAAGAGTTTTAAGCAATACCTTAAACTGCAACTTTGTTACTAAAAATTATTTCTCTGAACACAATACTTTAATTATACCTAGCCAGCATGCTAATGAAAGTCTTTCTTCTTAAGCCATTCGTGTACATTAAGTTAACATACCATAACTTAGTATGGCAAAATAGTAATCTGCAAAATATAATTGACTGAGTGAAGTGTTTATTTCACTGCATTTTTCTGTAACTCTGGAAAATTATTTCACTTTTTGTCTCATCAAGTTGGAACCTTCTGTTTTGGCTTATGAAACCTTCCTGTACTTTCTATTAACCAATGGGTTTTGAGCGAAACAGTTCAGCTAGCTGTCCATCCATCTATATGGAATAACCCCTCTAAGATAATAGAGAAGTGCTTTGCACTAACATTAGCCAGCCACTCTTGGATGCATCCTGTCAGGCCCTGCAGACTTTTCTGAGCTGAAATTTTTTGAGATACATAACTGTTTCCTCTTTCTCATTGTTTCTTTAAGTCAAGGACCAAAGGCTTGGGAAAACAGCAAAGAGAGGCAAAAAGAGCATTGAATACCTCTCATTAATCACTGCCTTACTCAATAGTGGTTCCACTTGTTTTTTATAGTTTCATTGCTAAAGTAGTTGCAGAAACTCGTGTTGCCTACCGCGTCCCTTGCTAGTTTCAACTCTCATTGAACTTTGTTTTCCCCAGCGGGAACCCTGCATGCCCAGGCAGTTTATCAGCGTCCTTCCTTTCAAGTCTGTCTTTGCTTCAATCTTTTTTTTAATGTTCTTTTTACATCAACACTCAGATGTGAGTTCCCCATTTAGCCATGTCACTCTCTTGATAGTCTAGACTTTTTTTTTTCTTCCCCTCAGGATGGGCCATCCTTGTTAGGAGGAGGTTGTCTCTGAAAACCTGTCAGCTCTCTCAAACTTGCCTTTCAGAGCTACCTCCCACATGATCCCATCTACCAATTCACTGAACAAGCCGAAGTCTGCTCTCCTGAAGCTCCAGATTTGCTAGCTGCCTTCCTTCCTTCAGGATCACAAATTCCACTCTGATGGCTGCTGCAACCAAGGCTGCCAGGGATTAACGTGCTCCCTAGCACTTCTGTGATTGTGAGTGGCTGGGACCTCGTTGGCCCATCTTGTATGTGTGTTAAGAGGTTGTCCCAGGCTCGCTCTTGGACAGCAGATATCAGTTTCAGTTTAATGTGCAGAACTGTACTGTTTTTATATGTCTGAATTCCTTTGGAGGAACTTGTTTAAACTGCATTTTTGTAACGATTTCTCAGGGAGTTGATAGATGCTAGTTCTATCCTGCGAAGTCCTTCAGGGGATGAAATTTTAGACCAGGTGTTTAATTATTTTTCATTAAATTGCTCTAATTATATGGGTGAAAGAACAAGTAAAACAGCAAGTCTCCTGCAAAGTTCACTTAGCTCTGATGAACAAAATGTATCCATTCAGAGACTAAGTGAAATGAGACTTGACTAATAATTTGTGTAATCAAAAAAAACTGATAGAATGTGATTAAGCTAGATCTGTTAGCAATATGATGATGGATTGGGAGCAACCGATGTTTGTGATTACACCTTTCAATTCATTTGTATGAATACGTTAATTAGAAGAAATAAAAATCACTATAATTGAATATTATGGCTCTTGAACTACAGTGTGAATTCTTGTACTAATTTCTTTAAGTAAAGGCATAATATAATAATACAGAGACCTACGTAGGTCTCTATTTGCTAAATAATCCAACACCAGCCTTTTCAATCAAGTAAGCCCAGGTAGTGAGATTCCTTTTTTCTCTCTATCTTTGTTTTATATTAGTAAATGCTTTAATTAAAGGATTTCAACTGTTCTTTATAACAAATTTCTCAAACAAATGTGTTTCTGGTAAAGCAAACTTTGCTCTTGGTAATGTGAGTGAAAACAGCATCTGGCAGCCAAAAGCCACGTGTGTTGTACTTTCTTCGGAGTACATCTATTTCAGAATTCATTCATTTTGCTGAGACGTTGGAAGGAGGAAGAGAATGCCCACATCCCTTGCATCTGCTATGACAAAGGTCTTTCCTCTCAGTAATCCATCTATTCCATTTTTTATATACCTCTGTTAAAAACTAATCAATCTAGACGTCTTTGTAAATGATAGCAGAAGACAAAACCATTGTATTTAAAATAAGCTGAATTCCAATATAAGAATTTTGTCGTCTCTGTTCTTCTTACATGCCAGAATAAATTGTGATAGCACTTCTTCCTTTTTCATTAATGCGCCTATACTTCCATTTCTCTCATTAGCTTCAGCAGCAGTCGTCCATCTTTCTAGCATTATCACATCAGGACACTTATTCCTGAGGCCTATTGTTGCTGGGGTT